TCCTTCCTTCCTTCCTTCCTTCCTTCCTTCCTTCCTTCCTCTCAGTTTGAATACTACATTTTGCTAAGTTCTGAAGCAGTACAAACTTTTTCTGTAACTTACATAGTGGCCATTAATGAGATGACTTTCTATGACATAACTTTTGTTTATCTTTCACCTTCAGGGCCTTTTTTTAAGATGTTAAGGAGGGCAGGGGGTCTGATTGTTCTCTATTGTCTTTTGTCTCTTGAACGAAATGGCCTGGTAAACAGGAGACTATAGGAAAACACAAACTAGTTTCACTACCTTAAATGGAAAGTATTGATTTCTCTGATGGTTTCAAATAGTGAGACATAGTTTGGATCAAGTCCCCAGGGCAATTGCTTCCATTCTTTCGGCTCAGACTAATCCTGTTCATGAATTGCTTAAAAAAAGAATGGAAGCATTCTTGGCTGTTTGGCCTTCACTCACGGTTGGCTTTGTTTGTTTTAGGTAGTGTTAGCAATAAAGCCAAATCTGAGTGTCTGCATTGGCTCTGGTGGCCCATACCTACTCTACTTGATTCCTGACTGGCTGAGAGCATTCTGAAAAGGAGTGTCAGCTCTACTAGGTAGACCAGACCAGAAAATCAACTCTGCAGGAAGACTAGAACTCTGCTTGATGTAGGCAGGCTATGATCATAGAACCTTGCAAGTCTGATTGTGCTGTACCCCCCTCCCTCTTATAACCCAGTGAATCAGGGAGGTGTTTGCCTGAACGACTTCCAAATGTTACCTTGCTTCCCAAGATGTAAAGAATGTTTCAGCTCTCTTTGCCTGGGTAATGGTTCTTGCATATTTCTGTTGAGGTCTACGAGGAGAAAGGGGAGAAATAGATACAGAAGCGACAGATGGGGAAAAGAGCAGATGTGTGGACCTGGTGGGGGTGAGACCAAATATCATCAAGTGTTGCCACGGCTCTCTCACACACATACACATATCACGTTGCCCGGATTATTTAACATATGGAGCGCATGCTTCTCAGATACCTGCTTGACTTGCAGAATCAGTGATCAAAGTGGATTACATGTTAACTCCCATAATGTTTGGCTGGCATTTGTAGACTTGCCTGTCCTTGCCTTCTTTCGTCATCGGATGCAAAACCAATTCTTTTCACCTGGTACCAAAGTATAAAAAATGCACTGAGTTTTAGAGTCCTGAACATGATCCTAGAGGAGATGTGTGACATGTTGCCAAAGGAGATTTGGGATACGAGAGATGGTTTTGAGGGTACAGAGGTATCTGCAGGGACTGGGCAAGATGGGGGCTGCAATGGTGCAATTGAAGCTCTGTCTCCTTTTTTATGTGCAGCCACCCATCTTGACTTTTTTGACCATACCCTGCACACACCCCTGTTAAAAGAGCAAGCATCAAATGAACTCCAGGGTCAGGTTCAAAACATGGCAAAGGATCTTAGAATAGTGGGTGCATGTTCCCAATTACAGTTACAGTTCAGACTTGATAGAAACTTTTAGGGAAACTTCATACGGAAGCAGAAGTCTGGTTAAGTGGGATAGGAGTCTGATATTTTTCTTTGCTCCAGCTGCTGAAGAGCCATCCTACTGTTCTACAATAATTTTTCTCTCTAGCAGTCCAAGCAAACATGCAAAGTGGCATTTTGCAATTGGCTTCCTCGGTGATGCTGGTTTAACTGATGCAAGGTATAGGCCCAGAGCAGTGTTTCTCAACCGTGGCAACTTTAAGATGAGTGGACTTCAATGCCCAGAGTTCCCCAGCCAGCATGCCCGTGTGTTGAAGTCCACCCATCTTAAAGTTGCCACGGTTGAGAAACCCTAGCCTAGAGGATCCATGGAGATGGTTTAGGACTACTAGATCCGGGCTCCAGAAATCAAGCTGGATAGCAGGAAAAAAGTTTGCAGCCGTGAAGTGGTCATCCCAACCCAGATATGGAACCCTTAACATGGTTGTCAATTGCTTAGTGGGCACAGTATAAAGTGTTGGCATTAATTTTTTTTCCTTGTCAGAGCTGATTTGGTATAGTGATTAAAAGCTCTAGACTAGAAACTGTGAGATTGTGAGTTCTAATCCTGCCTGAGGCCTGAAGCCAGCTGGGTGTCTTCTCTGTGTAGCACCTGCTTTGGGGAACAGCCTCTCCACCACCTGGGATCTGAACGGCCCTGGCCCTATTGATCTTCTGGAAGGCTGCAAAAACCTGGCTTTTCCCACAGGCATTAGGGCTGGGTTGTTAGTAGAGCCCGATATAGGTGGATCTGTGATTGAGGATAACATGTAAGGTTCCTTGCTTTTTGAATTTATTATTTTTGTTCTTTTTATCATTTGCATTGTGGGATGGCCAGAGTTAATGTGCTTAAGATAGGCAGCTAGATGCATTTCCTAAATAAATAAGTAAACAAGCAAATAGACCAGCGTTTCTAGAATTCTGGGAGTTGAAGTCCTCCCATCTTAAAGTCACTGGGGTTGAGAAACACTGAAATAGACAAACTCTCCTCTCATGTCTGGCCATTAAGATTTGCTGGAGAGATCCTTCTGTAAATGCTGCTGTTGTCAAAGGTTCACCCATCTCATCCTCATGGAATAGGAACTGGTTAATCAAGAAACCGTCTGTCTTCCGTAAGTTCTACCCATCCTATCCCATTGGGCAGTTGGCACGCTTTGGTCCCATTGATTAGGTGATTCCACCAGATGGGATCCAGAAAGTAGGATCTTCTGTCGCATCACAACACTGCCACCCCACCCTGATCCTATTTAAATGAGTCCTTAAAACCTGGTTCTTCCCTAGACCTTTGGAGGACGATTCTCCAATTTGGCCAAATATCGACCCCTAAGATGATGATGGTGATCTATATACTACTAAAACTCTCATTGTGTTTATCTTTTTGTCTGTACCCTCAGGTTAGCCCAAATAGTGCATTATATGCAACAATTTTTGAATCAAGATACCTAAAATCCGCTAACTTAAAGAATGTGTAAAAAATCTGGGACCCATGACTCCTGCGGAATTGAAACTTTCAGGACGTTCACATCAGTCTTATTTGCAAGGTTGTGGCTGTTGCAGCATCCCTGAGGTCATGTGATTGTGATTTCTGATGCTCCCTGCCAGCTTCCCACAGGCAAAGTCAATGGGGAAGCTGGCAGGAAGTTGGAAGTTGCTCCCGTTCCCACTGCTTTTTTTCCCACCCATGGTCATTCTCTTTATCTGTTTAGGTAAGTAAATATTGACATATTATTGAAGTTCATTTGCCACTACAATTATTTTTCTATTTATGATATATACTGTTCTTAGATGATCATGGGGCCATTCAGCATTTGGGTAAAAGAAATATGGTCAGCCTAAAATGTAATGTTCATTCTGGTCACATCAGACTGCACTACCTTCCTCTCAAAGGATGACCAATGGGTCACAGGGTCGTCTAGTTATTATTATTATTATTATTATTATTATTATTATTATTATTCATAGTACTATTAGTTAAA